AAAAAACGTGATGTAACCCCTTGCCATTTCGTCGATTTTGGTCAAAATTTAGATTTTCATATTTTTGATGCCAATCGATATTACTGATCCTTACGAGTCCAAAATGGTATAAAATTCCAAAATCGGACATTATTTGGCCGAGATATTCCAAAAAAGCATCAAAAAGGGTTGACTTTACAAACGAGTCGGTTTTTGATCAACCACTTTTTTTAACCAATCGATTTTTAAAATGTTTGAATGCCAATTGATAGTAGGGATCCGTACGAATTCAAAAAGGTATAACATTTCATAATCAGACGATATTTATTCAAGATATTCAAAATAAATCATCAAAAAGTTTTGATTTTCGATACGACCCCGATTTTTCGAAAAAACGTGATGTAACCCCTTGCCATTTCGTCGATTTTGGTCAAAATTTAGATTTTCATATTTTTGATGCCAATCGATATTACTGATCCTTATGAGTCCAAAATGGTATAAAATTCCAAAATCGGACATTTTTTGGCCGAGATATTCCAAAAAAGCATCAAAAAGGGTTGACTTTACAAACGAGTCGGTTTTTGATCAACCACTTTTTTTAACCCATCGATTTTTAAAATGTTTGAATGCAATTGATAGTAGGATCCGTACGAATTCAAAAAGGTATAACATTTCAAAATCAGGATATTTATTCAAGATATTCAAAATAAATCATCAAAAAGTTTTGATTTTCGAAACGACCCCGATTTTTCGAAAAACGTGATGTAACCCCTTGCCATTTCGTCGATTTTGGTCAAAATTTAGATTTTCATATTTTTGATGCCAATCGATATTACTGATCCTTACGAGTCCAAAATGGTATAAAATTCCAAAATCGGACATTATTTGGCCAAGATATTCCAAAAAAAGCACCAAAAAGGGTTGACTTTACAAACGAGTCGGTTTTTGATCAACCACTTTCTTTAACCCATCGATTTTTAAAATGTTTGAATGCTAATTGATAGTAGGGATCCGTACGAATTCAAAAAGGTATAACATTTCAAAATCAGACGATATTTATTCAAGATATTCAAAATAAATCAACAAAAAAGTTTTGATTTTCGATACGACCCCGATTTTTCGAAAAAACGTGATGTAACCCCTTGCCATTTCATTGATTTTGGTCAAAATTAGATTTTCATATTTTTGATGCCAATCGATATTACTGATCCTTATGAGTCCAAAATGGTATAAAATTCCAAAATCGGACATTTTTGGCCGAGATATTCCAAAAAAGCATCAAAAGTGATTTACAACACTTTTTGACCAACGATTTATTTTAAGCCAATTGATAGTAGGGATCCGTACGAATTCAAAAAGGTATAACATTTCAAAATCAGAAATATTTATTCAAGATATTCAAAATAAATCAACAAAAAGTTTTGATTTTCGAAACGACCCCGATTTTTCGAAAAAACGTGATGTAACCCCTTGCCATTTCGTCGATTTTGGTCAAAATTTAGATTTTCATATTTTTGATGCCAATTGATATTACTGATCCTTACGAGTCCAAAATGGTATAAAATTCCAAAATCGGACAATATTTGGCCAAGATATTCCAAAAAAAGCATCAAAAAGGGTTGACTTTACAAACGAGTCGGTTTTTGATCAACCACTTTTTTTAACCCATCGATTTTTAAAATGTTTGAATGCCAATTGATAGTAGGGATCCGTACGAATTCAAAAAGGTATAACATTTCATAATCAGCCGATATTTATTAAAGATATTAAAAATAAATCATCAAAAAGTTTTGATATTCGATACGACCCCGATTTTTCGAAAAAACGTGATGTAACCCCTTGCCATTTCATTGATTTTGGTCAAAATTAGATTTTCATATTTTTGATGCCAATCGATATTACTGATCCTTATGAGTCCAAAATGGTATAAAATTCCAAAATCGGACATTTTTTGGCCGAGGTATTCCATAAAAGCATCAAAAAGTGTTGACTTTACAAACGAATCGGATTTTGATCAATCACTTTTTTGATCACAACGATTTTTAAAATGTTTGAAAGCCAATTGATAGTATGGATCCGTACGAATTCAAAAAGGTATAACATTTCATAATCAGACGTTATTTATCCAAGATATTCAAAATAAATCATCAAAAAGTTTTGATTTTCGATACGGCCCCGATATTTCGAAAAAAACGTGATGTAACCCCTTGCCATTTCGTCGATTGTGGTCAAAAAATTAGATTTTCATATTTTTGATGCCAATTGATATTACTGATCCTTACGAGTCGAAAATGGTATAAAACTCAAAAATCTGACATTATTTGGCCGAGGTATTCCATAAAAGCATCAAAAAGTGTTGACTTTACAATCGAATCGGTTTTTGATCAATCACTTTTTTGAACACAACGATTTTTCAAATGTTTGAAAGCCAATTGATAGTAGGGATCCGTACGAATTCAAAAAGGTATAACATTTCAAAATCAGACGATATTTATCCAAGATATTCAAAATAATTCATCAAAAAAGTTTTGATTTTCGAAACGACCCCGATTTTTCGAAAAAACGTGATGTAACCCCTTGCCAATTCATCGAATTTGGTCAAAAATTAGTTTTTCATATTTTTGATGCCAATTGATATTACTGTTCCTTACGAGTCCTAAATGGTATTAAATTCCAAAATCGGACAATATTTGGCCGAGATATTATAAAAAAGCATCAAAAAGGGTTGACTTTACAAACGAGTCGGTTTTTGATCAGCAACTGTTTTAAACCCATCGATTTTTTAAATGTTTGAAAGCCAATTAGTCGTAGGGATCCGCACGAAATCAAATAGGTATAACATTTCAAAATCAGGCGTTATTTATCTAAGATATTCAAAATAAATCATTAAAAAAGTTTTGATTTTCGAAACGACCCCGATTTTTCGAAAAAACGTGATGTAACCCCTTGCAATTTCGTCGATTTTGGTCAAAATTTAGATTTTCATATTTTTGATGCCAATTGATATCACTGATCCTTACGAGTCCAAAATGGTATAAAATTCCCAAATCGGACATTCCAAAAAAGCATCGAAAAGGGTTGACTTTACAAACGAATCGGTTTTTGATCAACAACTTTTTTTACCACATCGATTTTTAAAATGTTTGAATGCCAATTGATAGAAGGGATCCGTGCGAATTCAAAAAGGTATAACATTTCAAAATCAGAAAATATTTATCCAAGATATTCAAAATAAATCATCAAAAAAGTTTTGATTTTCGAAACGACCCCGATTTTTCGAAAAATCGTGATGTAACCCCTTGCATTTTTTTCAATTTAGGTCAAAATTTTAAGTATATGCAGTATATAAACAAACCCACAAAAACGTATTTTATTGGAGGCTTTTCCATGTAGTGCTCGAATCCTGGAAATTATATTCTAAAGACCGATCTATGCAAAGTTGTAATAATATATTAGAGACTTGTAAACTTGTAACTTAACTAAACACGTTTGCACGGACAGACGATCCGTTGAGAATAATTAAAAACTAATATACTTATGGGTTTGGAGACAACTAAATAGCTTGACCAAAATATAATAACATCCACATAATTTACTTACAGCAAAAGGACACGCAGGCAACAAAAATGGAAATAATTTTAAAAATACTTCGCCACATTCTCGTAGCTGATATATTATTCTGTGGCTATACGAATGCAATGACATATATTAACAACAAAAAACTCTTTTCGAGTTAGAACGGATTTTCGAAATTTCACCTTTCTTGTAAAAATATATGTTAGAGCCCAGAACTTTCCTCCTTTTTTCCCCAAACAATACTTTCATCTCTCTATAAAAAAAAAGGTATTTATTAGACTGATTTTCGAAATTCCACCCTAACTGGCGAAAAAAGTGAAAAAGGTTTTCTGGAAAAGTCGCTTTTGATTTTCCAGTCAATTGAGATGTCAATTCCCAGAACTTTCTACTTTCCACTTCATCACTATATTAAAAAATTAAAAATCATAGCGGAACTCCTAGACATCTCTCTAGTTCGCCCTATCCTTGAATACTACTCTTGCATCTGGTCTTCGCAGTATTGAATCTGTTCAAAAACAATTTCTGCTTTTTGCCTTACGAGGTTTAAATTGGGACCCCAAACTGCGGTTGCCATCATACTCCAGCAGAATTCTTCTTCTTGGTCTTCCGTCGTTTACCAAACGTAGGATAATCCTTGGTGTTGTCTTCCTACATAAGTTGATTGTTGGCAACATAGATTCCTCTTTTCTGTTAGGGCGTCTTTATTTCTCTGCTCCCTCTACACCTACCAGGAATTATCGCCCCTTATTTCTTTTCGCGGTTTATGCAAAAATTACAATAGTTTGTATCACGTTTTCTTCACCGAACTTTCTCTACCCCTAATAATGCTTTCAGGATACCTTCGGGAACTCACTGACCATTCCCAGCTATGAGTAGGGGCATATCTTGTCGGAAAGGCTATAAATTTTCGCCCACCGGGTCGGTGATTTCTAATTACTATCTCTATTTCCTATCTACTTTACACTCTATATATCTAGTATAAATTTCTTTACTTTATTAATGATTTCTTTCTTTCTGTTTTCCTATTTATTGTATTTTCTTAAATAATATAGTAATTTAAGATGATTTTTAGTTTTTATTTAAGAACACTGTTTCCTATTTAGCCGTAGACTCTAATAGCGTCACTGACAAAATTAGCTGTGAAAAGGGGCATATCTGGCCGGACGGGCAAATAAAACATCCATCTTTCGGTGATGCTATTAGAAAATTGAGTGCTATAATTTGGCTTTTGGAATTTAATTTTTAAAATGATGCATCGAATAATTAGGAGGACACTCGGTTTTTCGACCATTTATAAATAAATAAATTAATTAAATCAATTTTTATTAGACAGATATAAATTCCACCCCAACTCAGGGAAAAAATGTGGGAAAATAGTTGTTAAATATTTAAACATATTTGGGAAAAGTCGCTTTTGATATTCTAATCAGTTGACGCGTCTCTGCCTAGAGCTTTCAATTGTATTTATGAGAACGCAGTTCGTAATCGAGAACCTTGTAATACATTTCAATGTGTATTAAAATTCATATAAAATGAAAAGACTAAGCGATGACGAACCTCCGAAACCAAAGGGAAGGTGGGCACGGCTGATGCACATGGTTGACGGCTCGAAGAAAATACGATACAGTTCGATCAGAGAGGCACGCCGAGCTGTGCTCCATTTCTTTATCTATATAATATTTCTGGCACTGGCATCATTGGGTAAGCGATAAATTGGAATATTTAGCGTAGGAATAATCCAGCCTCATCCTTCAGTGACACAGACAACCAACAATGTTCCCATGTACTATTTAAACGATGCTATCCACAGGCAGATTATAGGTCGTCGGGTGCCCATGGAGCCTGGATTGATTAGCAAATATTCGGAGATCGACTCTTTGGATAGGTATTGGGACTTCGTTCTGTACACGTTTCTACCATTGCTCGATACAGGCGACTTTAGGTCGACTCATAAAGAGTCCATCTGGAAATTCACCAATGAGACAAATCAGTTCGATGGGATCTATGGCGACCTCTACCATCGAGTCATAATGCATGGAATTGTGCTGCTCGGACCCCCACGTTTCAGACAGATTATGGTAGAGGGGGGTCACTGTAAAGAGTATGCCCCCTTCTCCAAATACATGGATACCTGTTATGCTACCTATACGTGGTCCAATGAGCGCCGTACGGATTACCGCGGTACCAAATGGGTCAGCATGTGGGAGGACGGTGCGATGCCGATCATTGGCGAGATTGAAGTCTATTTGGGCGCCGGCTATATAACGAGCCTTAGCTATGACAATAAATTGAACTTCCGCCTAGTTGAACACTTACGCGACACCAAATGGATCGATCGCTCCACACGGATTTCCCTAATCGAGCTCAGTTTGTTTCACGTCAACACTCGCCTCTTCGAGAGCGTCAAGTAAGCAAAGGCAAAGTAGAGGGCATCCACAAGCCGATGTAGTTTTTTTCTTTGTTCGCTAAACTATTTTATTTCAATACTTCGTTATGGAACTTAATCTTTTTCATAATATTGTAAGCCGATTAAGTAGAACAGCTTGCTTTATATTCAATAGGCTGGATATATTTTACACCTCTGATTCCCTTTAATGTAGACTTCAATTATGTAACTATACGAAATGAAAAAGGTTTCCCCTTTTGATGTAAGAATATTATGTGTCTTAGTCAATTGGAAATCGTATTAATTTAAACTGCAAACTAATCTCTCATTTTCAAAGACATCGTCTTGAAACTTATCATAGGTTCGTCCTTCTGAAGCAAGTAATTTATATGTTGCACCATTTAAACTATGCTGCTATTATACAAGATCACACTACTATATTATAAACCTCTATAGGGAGAAAAGATACTTTAATTTACGAGCTTTACTACTCTCACATATCTGCAGTCGTAAGCCAAATGTCTATAAGAGTATTTTATTTTCGGTGTACCGAAGAGAAATTCCTTTTCTTGTTGGAAGTTTCTCCACAAGGGTATTTAAGCTGCGGCACGTTGCAGATGACTTTTATCCTCTGTTTTTATTGTCATTGGTAATAAACTCTAATGCCCGGCTCACAGGTTAAAGGTAGAGCGTCCAGCGACTGGTGGACTTGTACCCAGCTATTCTTTGCGGTCAATGCGACAGGAAACTATATTTACCGATTCCAACTGGGCTATTCGGATTGCATCCTGTAGCTACTATCTGATGGTCGTGCTGTTTACCTTTAGAGAGATTCGACTTATAAAAAAATATGGTTTTTGTAAATATATCGGCAATGTGGTCAATTTAGCGGACTTTACGTGCTATGTGGTGAGTGATTCAAAAAGTATATTTTTATTTAATTGAGTTATATAACATTAATTCCTGATCAGGAGGATATCAATTTATCCTGGTCGTCCGTCTTTCCGCTTACCAGATACTTATTTATAATTTTTGCATAAATATAAATTAAGACTTCGGCAGCCCGAGGATATCTGCTATTTAATCCTATTTTATCCCTCAGTGTTCATACATAATGCTGTTGATCCACGTGATACGATCCTTCTATCATAACAACATCATGGATATTGTGAAGACATCCGATAGGTATATTAATCTTGACTGGGCTTCTGCACTTGCCGTCGTATACAATAATATTGCTGCAATTACCATATTTTTGGCCTGGATTCGTATATTGACCTTTTTGGTCTTTAATCGGACAATGGTTATATTTGTGAATGTCGTCCGTGAGGTGCGTAAGTCTGTTAATAAACGAAATTTATATTATTTTGGGAAGCATAAAAGTAGAGTCGCAAAGATAACTGAATACATTTATGTAGATAGCCTTTAAAAAGTTAAATTTTACTATATAGAGCAATTTTGTTAGCATATGAAACCTAAAGTATGCACTATGCAGATATAATAACTTCTTGTGAAGGGTTTTAATCAGATATCAAAAATGTATAAGATCGATCTTAATTTTAACAAACAATACTCTTTATTTGACACGTATCTAGTAGTTAAATCAGGTGTTAATCTATCAGCCAGATTTTCTTGGACTTATCCGGAATTAAAAGTAATTTTCGTTGAAGGAAAGTATATAAAAATACCAAATTTTTTCCAATAACTCTTCCGCCATACGTCCAGTAAGTTACATATATCATAAAATATAAAAAATATATATTGTATATTAATATATGTATATACTTGATTTGGGGCCCTAACCTAGGACAAAAAACTAGGTCGCAGCACTAGCACAAATATATATTGATTTGTTATATAGTGTAATTTGTTATTAATTTTTCCAGAGCACCAGCGAAATGGTTGGCTTTCTTTTAATGTTCTTTGCCATGTTAATGGCCTACGCAGAGTGTGGCAGGGCTTTGTTTGGGGACAAAGATGAACAGTTTTACAATCTAGAATCTTCAATACTGACCATGATGCGATGGGTCGTGGGCGACTCCATGTACGATAGTTTCAAGATGAAAGAGCTGAAAGCCGGGATTTATTACATGTCATTCGTGATTATTGTGTATGCCTTGCTGCTGTTCGCCTTCCTGGTCATCATCAACTGCACGTACGATGAGATCCAATCCTCTATGCAGACCCGGGCCTCCAAATTGGGTCTTCTCATTCGTTTGTTCTTCCGGAGTCTATACGATCTGCTCTACTTCATCTTCTGTGGTAAGCGGAAGAAACGCGCAAAAGACGACGAAGACTTGAAGAGTGAACTGGCCTCCGATCAGCGCATCGATCCCCAAGAGGCAGCCGAGCGGGCTGCCATGCGCCGGCAGTTGCTCCAGTAAGTCTTCCAAGATGCCTCCCTGAGATCAAACTTCAATATTTGTTTATTGCAGAAATCCGGTCACCCTGTCACAGTCCGAATACCTGCCCAGGCGCATGGAATGGTGTGTGTTGTCGTTAATTGCCATCTAGGGTATCAAAAATGTACACAATTAACCACACTCTTTTGCAGTGCTGCAAAACGCGTTAAAGCTTTGGAAGAGGTAACTGGCCCAGTGCTGAAGCGCCTCATTAACTATTATTATTCGTTGCGCCGCGAACAAGGCTTGCCAAGAGTAAACATAGATATTTCTGACCTGAGAGGAGGAGCGCTTAGCCCAACATTTTTTTGAGATAATTCAGAATTCTTAAAATATTATTCTTCTAATAAAAATATACTTACAAATTTATTGTTTATGTTTATCATTTGGGATTATTGAATGAACGACTCAAACATTTATAACAAATAAATGAATATATGGGGTTATTAAAAATTGAGTACTAAGGTTGAATGATAGAAAGTTTTTATTAAAGGCTAATCTACAATTATTTTAGTAAATAATAACAGAAATAACAATTCTTCCGAGCAATTCTGATTTCTTATCAAGTCTTTGGGTACCGACCTTGCATTTTCAAAGAACCGTTGAGAAATATCATTTTCCTTCCGTTGCCCATTTTAGAGTACATTTTTCCGATTGATTATTTATCGATAAGGCCTTAGACCGGTTAGGGAAAGTTCAAATCCACTGGTGGAATTTAATTTAAGAAGAGCGGCCCCCTATCACAAGCGTCAAATAAAGACTGCAACTTTTTATATCAGCCGAAGTTTTTATAATTTCAATTTGGTAACCTGCAATCCCTCCGCCTTTGTGCGTTGCACTAGAGAGCTCATTATGCGCTTTGTAATCCCTGTTTATGTGCGATTATGCTTATAAGTAGAAACAAAATAATAAAAAGGCATAGGAAAAGGGCGAAACGGGAAAAGGAAATGCCGCACAAACTGAAATATGAAAGCGCAAATAATGTTTAAACAATTTGTTGTCCTTTCGTCTCATTTAATGACCAGTCGTCAAGTGGAGCGAACTCAATCCCCCTCCCCTGCCAACGTTTCGCCCAGTGCCGATTGGACGCCCGTTTCCATCTGGACAGCTCTGACTCTGGTTGTCGTTATAATTTGCAAAACTGTGCACAAAAGAGGAACAAAAGCAGGCAAGAGTGTACAAGTGAAGATTGGCCAACTAGGATATACCCTTAATCCAGTTGCCGTTACACATATTCGAACTTTATTCTTGATATACATACATATGCCCAAAAACATACATATGCACATGTTTGCACGCTCTTTACGAAATGTCTGAATTTCTTCCCTTACTCCCATGGGAAGTGAATTTTTGGTTATCTTCGGCCTTCATAGTCCGATCTATTTAAAATTTGTAGGACATAAATATGGCAAACAAAGTATGTATACAGCTGTCCTAAGTGAGCTATGTCTCAAAAACCATATTTTTCAATATACCGGAACAAATGTTCTTAATAGGTTCTGACATATATTCTTTCGTCTGTTACATACATTTCCTCAAAACTAATATACCCATACACAGTTGGAGCAGGGTATAACAAGAGAGGGAGGTAGAAAAAAATAAACAGCAAAAAAAAGGAAAGAAATTAGTAATAAAATGGAAAGCTACGTATAATGGCCGGAGGAGTCTGAGCGAACGGCGAGCAACTTGTTGCTCCACGCGCTGCTCGGTAGCAGGATGCCACTTCTCGTTGCCAGGCATGCTGGTGATTTCCTGTGAGGCGTCTGCCTCGGTGATGGCGGCGGTGGCATCGGCTTTAGCTTTGGCTTTGGCGTTGCCAACTTGCAAGTGGCGACTGACGCTTCCTGCAGCATCCCCATCCACAGCGCGATATTATTATTGCTTTTGCCTGCCTTTTAATACACTAACAGCATGTATTATCATTTTGTCGCATAATGTGTAACTACATAGTTCCAAAGTATTATTGTTGATTGCTATTGTTTTACGTGGCATCCTTTTAGTGGTTTTTATAAATTTCGGTTAACAAATGTTTAACACATTGTAGAAGATACCAACTCTGTAAATTTATGTTCTCAAACTGTCGCTACAGTTGAGTCTATAGTCTAAACTTTTCAGCTTCGGCCTACAATTTCATATTATGACACAAAAAGAAACTTCCGAGAAAGGAATTTGTTTTACTCAGTAAATATATATCGATATACGTATATGTTTATATTTCTAAGGGTATTCATTTGTCGGTACTCTGTTAACTGTTCCTTTTTAGTTATTTCTTTGCGCTGCTTTTAAGTTATTTGCTGCTCTGTAAAAATTATTATTTTCATTCTAGGAGTTGTGTGGCAAGTGGCGAGTTCTGCTCGCCGCCCGCAACCAGCTTGCTGCTGCCACCCGCTCCCTCTGCTCCACACGTACCCTGCTCCCAGCTGGCTGCCCGGCTTCTTCTTGCCACTTGAATGACTCATTAAAAGTGATTTCATTTTTAAAAACATTTTTCTCGCTGCGGTTGCTGACGGCATCGTTGGGCTTAGCGCGTTATCAGCAGTCAGAGCCGAGTTCTCTTGGCCGCGTTCCTCTATCTCAATCTCTCTCTCTATCTCTCTCTCTCTCTCTCTGTCTCTCGCTCGCTGTCTCTGTCTTCGTGCTGTTGCCTTTTATTTAATTTACTTGGAGTTTACTTTTTTAATTCGCTTAGCTACTTTTGGCTGCACCGTCTTCTGTCTCGCCTCGCCGTTGCGCTTCCTTTGTGCGTAAATCCTTCACAGAGAAAAAGGGACATTTGCCTGCCAGATAAGCGCTCTGAGTCACTCGGAGTTGCTGTTCTTGTTCTCGTTGTTGTTGTGCTCGTCCAGCTGCCTAAACGACTTGACAGTTACTTTACGTAATAGGATACAAAATTGCATTGCTGCTGCTGCTGCAACTGGAACATCAGCAACAGCCACTTGAATGTCGCTTGTTTGCCTTTTGTCAGCTTTTTTACCTAATTCCCCAGATTAGCTGCATTATGCGCCACGCTGGGCGCATAATAACAACCAGCCCAGACGCAGGCCTAACGCCAACGTCCCTCCTCCCGCCCATGTTGTCATCGTGCCCGCTGTCGTTGTTGCTGTTGCACATGTGAGTGGCCACTTGAGCAACAACTGCAACTGCAACTTCAACTGCAACTGCAACACCAGCAGCAGATGCGATAAGTGATGACTACTAAATGGACCCACGCACAGCACGATGCGATATGCCCTTTGCCGCTTAAGCCCACACGCATTAAGCAAAAAATAAATGTGAGGAAACTTAAAAGTGCATTTAAAGCAAGCTTTGTTTAATAATTAAATATTAGGTCAAGCATTAAACTGAATTAAATACGCTTATAAATAATAAAAGTTCGTTTATTAGCGAGGCAAAAATTTCTTAGCTTATAATTTAAAGAAGTAAGAGTGCGTTAGAGCAGTGTGTTCGACTAGCAGATACCCTTTACCCTGCCATGGCTTTATCTTTTAAACTGCGTTATTTTCAGTTTTGTGGAATTATTAACAGTAGTCGGCCAATATCTGCTTCGCAATCAAGAGCAATAAACTATATCCTAAAATCGATACCTTTCGATTTCGTGTAAACTGGACGAGTGCAATAAGAGAACCTCAGTTCCAAATTGAAAGTCTTAAGTTTATACTCTTGGATTAACGTATTAATTAATAGACTAACATGATTAATTCTAGCCAAAATACAAAAATACATTTATACGGTCTGATATACCTTATGGGGTCGTATTACATAAAAGGCTAATCTCGGTTATTGATGCTGGCCAGGAATATTATATTATATATACTCATACTGCATTAAATCGTATTACATTGGTACAAAACTATAATACCCATTATTATAGTAGTTGCGGGGTACACTAAATATTTCAAGAGTTTCTTGTTTGCGAGAAGAGTAACTGGTAACATATCAGATAAGAGGGGTGCATTATCTTAGAGCTTCTCTAGAAAACCCTTTAAAAGGATATAAAAATACAATTTGAAATATTCTTAATTGCTGTGAAGATTTTGAAGATTTTATCTTATTGTTGTTGGTCGTTATGACCAACATTGACCACGAGTTGGCCTGCTTAAAATTTAAATTACACTGAACTAAAAACATTTTATCATTTAAAGGAATAGTTCGTTAATAGACCTCCAATACAAAACATCCTTAGTTCGCAATCTTAAGCAAACAATCTAAAAGGTTCGAAGGTGAAAAACGTGAAGTGTATTTTTTGAGCATAGCTAAAAATATTTATATAAATAAAATGTACTTATAGATACAAACTCATCAAATTCGGATATATTTATTAGACCAGGGCTCAAGGCTTTTTTCAAGTTGGACTTCATTTGCGACAAGAGAATTCACATTTACCCACACTGACAATATGTTGCATATATTCAAAATGGGGCAGACTTCATTAAGTTCGGGTCCGTAAGTTAATTTTTCTCAGTGCACCCACACACACACACATACACACTCGATTAGCTTTCATTTCAGCGGGCGTTTGCCAGCGGCCAATAAATTTCTATTTAACCGTGGACAGCGACTGAAATAGGGGCAGAACTAGTGATGGAAGGAGGGAAGAGGGGGTGATGAGGGTGTGGTGGGGTTGGGGTCTAGGAACTAACTAACGGCTACTGTCAGGCCGCGAGCTGAGCTCCAATGAAGCGGCACGTGGAAATGCTTATAATTGCATCCGCGGCACCCTCCGGTGCTGGGACTGAAGCTGGCACGGGGCACATGCAGCAATAATTTTGACGGTTGATTGATCAAAGCAGCAGCCGGCGATGTGGTTGTTGTTGCTGCTGTTATTGTTGTTATTTACTGTTTTTTTATCGGTGTTCAGCACAGCACAGCAACAGCAGAAAGCTGCTTATTTACTTAACTTGGCAACAGCTATTTTACATGCCTTTTATTCATCAAGCGCGAGCTGCAACATTGAGGGTTGTTGCAAGATACAATTCACAAGATACAGATACACTGCTGCTGATACATAGATGTATCTGCAAGTAACTGCTACAACAGCTGACTCGATTAACTGGCCCTCTGTCGCTGTCTGTGTGTGGACTGCGCTCCGCTGCAATAAATCAAATTTTGAATCGCCTTTGAGCCAAGTTAAATTGCCAGTCCGGAAGCCCGAGATGCGGGAGTAACAATCCATTATTGATTGCACACTACACAACAGTTTATCAATAGTTTGAAGTAGGTTTTTCTTAGCGAAAAATCAAATACAATATATTGACGGACTTGCAGCTAAGTCAATTGCTGAAAGGAAACGCCATTTGGAATATTTAAAAAGATTAAAGTATCTCGCAGCATTTGCAAGTGTTGTGTTTGAATGCAAAGGGTATTACGAT